TTAACGTCATCAAGATGACACGTCAACATACCACTTGGAAGATGACATGGTATTGATAAACTTCCGTTAGTCAACGGTTAGTGTGGGAACTTATTTGACCTAAATTAAAAGTTTCAAGATTTATTTGAACACAATAAAAAGATAAAGGCTAAATTAATTTTCTTGATATAGTTTAGAGACTTATTTATCTATTTAACCTAAATTTTATTTTTTGAAAAGCATAAAACTTTTATTAGTGAAATAAACGCTGACTAAGCTAGGTCATAAATAAATCATAACTTTCGGCCTTAAAAGATACAAATTTGAAAATCAGGCCAAATTTGTCCGTATATATATCAGGCACTTAGGACAAGATGCCATATATTTAGCAATTTACTCTCTAAATTATGCACTACCGAGCCTCCTAAAATGTCTCTGAAATTTTTAAAAACCAAATCCTACACCATTTTCCTTCAAATCAGCAGATTTTTAAACTTTAAGAAGTACAAAAAACCGCCTCTTTTAAGCATGAAAAATACTGAGATGAACAGTTACTGTTTGTGATTTTTCTCATTAGAGTAAGAAAATAGACTTGAGAATTCAGACCGCCACTTAAGTTACCTTAACCCAGCAAAATCACAGCCAAAAAGAGCCTTGAAGAGCTCGCCCACCCGCTACTAGTAGTTTTATTGTTAAATTTGCAGTTAGTTCCAGTCCATCATGGTGAGGGGAGACAGATAGAAAGAGGGGAAATTGAATTTGATTATGTTGGGAGTAGTCTTAAAACCTTTGAGGCATGTCTCGATGCCTGCAATGTAGGGAGCTAAGTAGCAAGACTTATGCATTATGCGTAGATACTTAAGGCCCCATGATGTGATTATCCCGATTTAAAATGATTTTGAAGCACATTTGTTTTTTTAATGATCGTTAAACTTTCTAACAGCTTTGATTACACACAAAATACTTTTGTACAGTGTTTGGAATCAAATTACTGCATTGGAATTCAAAGTGAGTTTACAAAAACTCTTCTATTTTAGCTTGTTCTCCTTCTTTGCATCTAGTTCAGAATCTTTGTAACTCATATGTTAATTTTTTACATTTTTTTTTATAGATCAGTAGATTGTTTGACTCGTTGTCCTTCTATTACTACCAGGATTGATTCTGATAGGTCACTGATAAGGCATATGATAAGCATCAACCTTCACCTTTGAGTCAAACTCTACTGGTCAAACAATGGGTTATACTATGTTATGGATTTTTCTTTATATTTGGATTAATGCAACAAATGTTACACTTTTGGTTGTCATGAGATGGCTTACTCTTGATATTTGATTTGTATTTGCTTCCGCACTCTGAGCACAGAAACATACAAACTAATGTTTATAATTCTGATGATTGGATATAATCAAATATATATACATATGATTCTTTGGTGATCCGTCCCATGAGATAATTGATTATTGACTTTGATCTATTAGTTGAGGATTGCCTGAGTTAGATGGAACCTTTCCATTCAATTCTTGTGCCAATCATGGCTCCCGAATTTGAATCGTAACCAAAGAACAAGGCCCTCAAAAAGAAATCTTTTAATTGAAAAGTTTATTAATTGCAATATATATAATTTCGACTTATAAATATACTCGTCATAAAATAAAGTAATTTGGTCACATTTACTGATAAATATGTCTTGGATAGGAGTATTATTCTCAAGGGATATGAAAGCCTCAGATGGCACTACCATATGAACAGCAGTGGTAGTCTATAAACCAGGACAACATGTTGGCATTCATTGTTCAACTTAAAACAAAAAAGAAATGAGACGATCAAAAAAAGATAATGCAAAGGAGCAGTTTATTTTATTTGGTCCGAAAGGTTGTGAATTTTCCAATGCAAAATAGGAAGGAAATGGGCACAATCAATCACTACTTATGCGTTTGAGGGTGGTTAAGAAGGCCTCCAAGGAAACCTGAAATCCCAGATTCCGAGTTCGTCAGACCATCTATAAATGCCTTCAGGAGAGAATAACCAGAGGCAATTACTACATTCATATCTGTCTCTTTGATCATCATAAGCATCGAAGTGAAAGTCAGGGATGTCTCGCCAACTTACGTCACAGTAAAAACAGTGTGGTCCTAAAAATGTTGACATGAAAACTCCATTGAAATTCCTGGCCATCGCCGCTGAGCACATGGACACCCAAATCATCGTCTCCGGATGCGCAATGGACGGTTATGGAATCGCCACCACCCACTAAACTGATCAAATGGACGTGCCTTTTCCCTGCAACAAGGGCTGCTTCCAGCAACAAGCTAAACAGCACTACTTCA